ATTCCACATTATTAAAAATAACTTCATTTCTGGACATTTATGGTTTGATTTATTTGTATGTTGTTACCGACATCTGGTGAAAATTTCATGTCATTAGCACCTCTAGTAATATATTTACTGAGAAAAATGGTGACGTGTTCAATACTTATTTTACCCTCTGTAGAAATGTAGCAGGACGGTGTAAATATTAAAGGATGTTTCAGGCTCATACCTGCAAATTCTTGCCGTAAAGCGCGTGCGAAAGCTCGCCCCACCACCTGGGCTCCCATAACTATAATCTGTGCGAGATATTTCGCCTGAAAAAATAAAAATAAAAATAAAGTGTCAGCGGCGATTAAATGGTCTAAACATGACATTTTAAGTGACAGGAATTAGATAAACATTATCTCTATAACATTTAGGCTGATGTAACAAATACACAATAAACTGAGCGACAACACGAGTCTAATTGGAAGTTAGAAGCTAAACTAACATGAAACATTATTTCATCATGAAGTCAAAGGTCCCCATAACGCCACTAAAACTGCGAATTAAACCGAGCGGATCATCTGTTCAAGTTGTCAGTCAACAGCGCTCACAGAATATACAATTCATACATTAACAAATATACAACTAAAACGATGTTCCTTACCATTTTAAAATATTATTTAGCCTGAGCGACTTCTATTTTAACATGCGTATCACTGAAGGTTACTGACGGGTCAAAGTTGAAGGCAGAACCGACGCAGATGGACTTCCGGTGTTTTTTAACACTGACACCTGCTGGCGGGGAAGACAAACTGCAGTCTGCTTCTGACCAACAACTAAATAATAAAACACTAAAATAAAATAATGATAATAATAATATGCATTGCTTAGAAAGTGCCTAAATCATAGGTAAAAAGTTGTTCAGAGAATCATTATTTTTTAATAATTTAAAATATTCTTTTTGGTTATGTTACTGACCCTCCTTGATGTTTAAAAGGAAACTTTAATTCTGATTAAAATAATGTGGTGTTATACCACAACAGATTAACTTTATGAATATACATTTGCCATGCATACACAGGGACAGTAAGAGTTGAGTTCACGAGGTGTTTATTGCAAGATGATTTAGAAAACAGTCCACATACTTTCACCATAGAAAGACAAAAACAAAAAAAACAACATCTTATTCGCTGTATAAAATCATTTTTTAAAAACACAGAGCAAGGCAAGTTAATCCAAAAACACCAAACAATCACAAGTATCTCTGAGAATCACATCAGATAAACTCATTTGGCAACGGGCGCCCATGTTTTAAACACAACCACGCACGACTGAAGCAGCCTGATCAACCCGGTCCACCAGAGGGTGTGCACACATTTATCTTGGATCAGTGTTAGGTTTCTGGTGATATTGCTGTAGCCCTGAGGAAAGACTACACAATGGCTATTGATGCATCCACTGAAACTTATTAATACTGTGCTGTTTGATTGTTTCCCACCCTGATCAGAGAGACATAAGAAAATTAGCTCATAATATCCCCTAAAACCGTCAGAATAAGTCAAAAATCAACATAAATACTACAGAGTAAACAAGAGTTAGTATAAAAAGGCCCTTTAAAGACTCACCATATAGGCTGTTTGGCTTTCAATGGAAGATTTTTTTCAAAATTTTATACCTCTACCTGTATTCATGAAGGACAAAATATTAAATTCTTAACAGGACAAAAGCCCCACCACGTAAATCATGCTAAAACGGTATTTTA